TTTCTGTGTTGTTTCTAGATGGTTTGTAGCCCACACTTTTAGGAGCCTTGGCTTTATGGTTGGGCTATACAACAAACCACCACCTCGGCTTGTGTTTCCCACTAAAACTGAAAGGAATACTAGTTTAAAAATATAAAAATAAAAAATTGGTTGTTTATCAAAAATGAATCTTCAGGTACATGTAGGTTGGCAGGCACAAGTGAATTAAATTAATATGAACAAACAAAATTAGTTTAACATGTTTGAATGTAATCAGTAGCATAGCTTTTTGTGGCGGGGGGGGGGGGTGTCTGAACTATCTTAAAAGCTCTTAAAAAGATTGTTATTTTATGACACCATTAAATGCTGCCAGGGGCCTTCCCCCCACCAATACCCCACCATCCAGCTAAATAAAGGCCACTGTACTTTTTATGCATCAAATTAGTTTTTACATAGGCATTTGGTCTGAACACCTTCATATATTTAAGCCAATATTTCACTTGGTTTTGCCTTCACCTGCCGTAATCAGTGAAGGGCAAATTCAACATTTAACCCTCCTATATGCAAACATACATTCTGTTTAAAGTTGTCCTTTCAGTCTAATTCTCACAAGTGACTGTTTTCAACAGTTAAGAGCTCCCAGCCCCCATAAAGCAGGATTGACTGGCTGTGACTGTTTATGTAACTTTATACAGCTATACTTGACTGTAGATAATTGATAAGACAGCTGTGCCTACTTCCTGCCTGCTGTCTGATGACTGAATTTTACTAGTCACATGCTAGCTTGCTTGGAATATGATCTGACTGTTGGTGACTAGCTTGTGTAAAAAGCATGGCAGAGGAAGAAGATTATTTTTTTACTGTCTGTGACTGTTGAAACAGCAGGAGGGTTAAAATTGAGAAATCATGTCATTGTAAAAACCTTACATTAAAATTACACCAACCTGACGCAATTTCCATCAAAAGTCTGTTACTGCGTTATAAAGTATCAATTACAAAGAATTCATTACAATGAAAAGTGACCACAAAAATATACAATTAGTAAAATTATAACAGCTTTTAAATGCTTTGTTTCATAAAGTGAAACAGCAATACATTTAAATGTTGCTGGAATATTAAACTGTCACTTTCAAGAATCTAAATTTTTCATTTAACCCTACCCTACTAGACCCTCCAAGCATGCCAATATGTGCCTCAAGAAAATCTCCTATGTTTTTTGGATGGCCCTCCAATATCTGCCATGTCATTCAAGGGTACTGGACAGGCACTCCAATACATGCCACAGAGAACAATGAAGTCCTTGATAACAAAGTGAGTGCCCCCAGCTGGTCAGTAATCAGGAACCCCAGGGCCTCCAACTCCTGCCAATTGGAGCCTTCACTGTTAAGACAAAACTTCTGCCAATAAACTGCAGCTGGAGGGCATTGGCATAACCAACTGACATGCAGTAAACTACCCTCAGAGAGTAAGGGTTAATTAAATAAAACAACGGATGAATTATGCATATCATGTGATACTTCAGTCTCAAACGACAGTATGGATTACGCCTTCACCGACAGCCAGATACTGAAACCCCACTGTCACCCTGATGTTGGGTTATTCCAAGGATCAGGCACCTCCTGTTTTTAACTCTATGCTGATTACAAGCATCTCGCCTTTATGCCAAGTTTCACTGCATTGTTTAAGGGTCTCGATCTAGCTGAGTCTCTGTAATGCTGAAGAGCTCATCAGAAAATATCACTATCAGAGCTGAATCCTTGATCATCTATGCCAAGTCCTGCTGCAAAGTTTCAGGTTCGGCGGATTTCTGCAGAGTGACCCACAGCTCAAACTAACCCAGGACATACACAAAGCTGCTGTATCAGATGTCCCGCTGCAATACTTGAGGATAATAAGCCGAGTCACTGCCACGCAAACGAGCTCAGAAAACATTATCACAACAAAATCATCGACATGCATGCAGGTATTCATCCATGTTCTGCTGCAAAGTGAAAGTTTCCAGCTTTAAGCAGAGTCTCTGCAACATCTCTACAGCTCAGAAAAAACGTCCATGTACAGTTTCTATTGAGCCACTGCAATGGCAGAATCTCTGATGTGCAAGCACAGCTCCGATTTACATCATCTCTGGCTTTGTAGTATCCAAGGATACAGACATCTTAACAGCCCAACTACATGTAGATGCTTATCTGTTTCACCTTAAGTGGGTTTCGGCAGGATTACCAATGTGACAGCTCAGAGAAAACAACCATCTCACTAAGCGTATGTACAGTTAGGCCTACCCAATTAGCTGTAAGCAAGGGCAGCTTGTACTACTTGCAATCATTTCAGGCCTAGTTGAGTCTGCAGGTGTATATGCCAAGTTTCTTGCATATCATCCAGTAAGGCTTATCCTGGATTTCTAATACTGCAGGTGTTCTGCTGCATAATACGGGTAAAAGTCGACCAGGATCTGATGAGCTGTCACTGTCATTTCCCTGCTAACTTAAACAGTACGTGAAGAGCTCTGTGTGTTTGTTTGGAGACAAATATTCCACCATGCATCAGTGCCTCGTGTTGATCAGTGATGGCGCAAAGTTCACCTATGATCGTTTCCACTGCACTGTAAACTTGTCACCCTGAGATCGAGACCCTTTTTATGCGACTGAGTCAGTTGGACCTGGGGATCAGCACGGGAAGGGTCCCAACTCCCTGAAGAAGCAATTGCAATGACACAGCTGCATACACTGCTTATTAAATTACTCTTTAGAATCCTTGCCAGATCATACATGTTCACATTTGCATTTATTTATAAATCTGATAAATTTGGCTTTAACCCAGGTAAAGTTTTTACTTTACACCAAAATAAATGCACAGTCATATCATGTTTGGCACCAAGATGCAGGAAGAAGTGGCTTACAATTGGCACAAAAGCCATCTTGCTAATAAATACAGATATGGCATTGCACATCAATAATGTGTAATAATTGTATCTTGCACACACCAAGGAGGTCACCCCTCTTTAATAAGACTGGCGTGCCAATGCTATCTCACTTTTATTTTCAGTGTACATGTACCCCGCTTTGATCAGGGTATAACGTGTACAAGCAGTGAATGGGCAGATGGCCTCTGGTTTGAAATTGGATCAATATTGTAAGACTCCTGTGGTGTGGGGCATGGTGTTTTATCAAGACCAAGTGCTCCATGGTACCTTCAGTTTTGTGTTTGAGTGCCATGTATATTGAGCAGTAAATGCCCCACATGAGTAAATACACCACGGCATTGACATGCTGAGCTATATAACTGGTCAACATATAGTTTGAACAATTTCCCTATTTTTAGACATATTTGTAAAAGCAGACTATGTTAGCATACTTTTCATTGTACAGTTTTGTCATGATCTTTTTGTCCTGTAAAACTTACACCAGGAATTCTGGTGCAATCCACTTCTAACTGCAACATACCCAAGGGCTGTTACAAGTACAAGACCATACTCTTACACCAAGCCACTACAATTGCAAACATGTGGGCTCTCTTTCCATTCATCATTAGAAAAATTACACTTTGTCAGTATTTGACTTTTGATGGAATTTGCATCAGGATAATTTATATTATACAAATAATGAATGTTTCACGTTCGTGCAATGGAAAGAAAAATTTCATTCGGTGACAGATGAAATGTTCCATTCCACTCAGCTTCGCCTCGTGTAATGGAACATTTCATCTGTCACCTCATGAAATTAATTCTTACCATTGTACTCACAAACATTCATTATTTATTAATAATTACGGGCACTGTATAATCAGTGCTTTTCAACAGAAATTTAAATCAATAGCAAAAGCTATCTTGAAAGGCCAATATATCATTTGCAATTACAGAAATGTAAATAAAATAGCTGACTTTTCAGCTCAAGAGTCACATCTTTAAAAGATCATGAACAAAATGTGTGCCTTTATTTAACAGGTTATTTCATAAGGCAAATTTTTGAGTACTTGCAAATGATCCTATCAAGCCATGTTATTCCAACCTACATGTAGGCCAATGAGACCTTTACTTTCAAAAGATATGCCAGGCCTGTACAGAGGATTTTCAAATGAGTGTCATGTATCATTTCTACCGGGAGTGTTCATTTCAAGTAGTAAAGACTATTCATAAGATGAAATTTGCATCAATATTAGGTTTTGCCCTTCATCGACGTATAAACACTGTATACTCAGTGTGTTCAACCCGAGTGAAAGTCAGCAAAAGCACTCGGGTGGGAATCGAACCCACAACCTTCTGCTTTGTTGAGCAGACGTCTTACCACTCGACCACCGAGCACGAGAGATTGTTTAACTTTCACTCGGGGGTAACACACCGAGTAGACGGTGGTTATATGTCGGTGAAGGGCAAAACCTAATTATTGCAAATTGTAAAGACTTAGGCCTACATTGTGCAAGCAAAATGTATGCAAGCCATAAATCACAACAAAAATATAATTTAGCTGTTCAAATGACACTTTTCAAAGGTACACGTATTAGCACCCATCCCTGGTGCAGGCCTGCATATTTTTATTTTAACTTTTAGTCACTATAGCGCCCAAAACTGCCCTGCCTGTTACTCACTGCCCTGCCTGTTACTCACTGTAGCACCAAAACTGCCCTAGCACTCTTAGGGTACATTCGAGTACAATGTGCATGTAGCTCACCCGGGTCGATGTCTCAGTGGTGGGAACAGGTCACATGCATACATGTGTTGTTTGTTCATTTCAAGAAACGAACAAATTTGGCGGCTGGACAGCGAAAATCTTGAGCGACCCAAAAATCCAATTTTCAAGTAAAAAGGTCATTATTTATTTAGTTAATTTCAACTTTAGAGGCTGTAATTCCAGCCAAACTTTTTTTACTTTTTCAACTTACTGCAAAGCAGTAAATCTCAAAGTTAAGACCCAGTCTGAAATGGGCATTTTGTACAGACATCACGTGAGGATCGTGATGGCCCACGGTTGAATGTTCGATTAGTCCGGCTGTCATAGCTAACGTCTTCTTTTACAGAGACGATCCCAGTGAGCTACTTGAAGGCACCCTATGATTTATTATTCAGTGAATAAATACACTGTAATACAATACAGACCCAGATGCTGATGGGGTAATTATATTGAATGACAGAATTAAAAATCAAAACGATAATAGCAGGTGGTAACTTTGCTCAGTTACAAAACTTAAAAGAATAAAAACAGTATAACAGCTGTTTCTAAACTTAATTTTTTGGCTCTATTGTGTTCTGAAGTTCAGTTTAAGTAAACAGGGTGCCCCCTACAAAATGCAACAGTTGTGATTTTAGGAAACTAAAATGGGATTGTAGGAAAACCTAATATTGTCATGATAAATTTGGTATTGCAAGATGTGCTTGGGCATTAGCTTCAATATGACACCAATTGTAAGTTGATCCTTTTCCAGATGCCTGAACATTCATTGTTTGACTAAAGTAGTCGGAAATGCCCACTACTGCACTTTAGAAGCATTGGTTATCTGGATTTCACATCTAACATCAAAATCAATGAGCTGCTTCCAACAGAAACAAAAAATCGATTGAATCTTAACTTTTATCACTCTTTAAAAATTTCAGATCAATCATATCAATAGTTATTTAGAAGTCTTTTTGCCTATTCTCCAAATCCTTCCACATGTCCAAATGTGGCAATTGTCATTTTATCGTACATCAGTTAAAAAAAAGATTGCTCAGCCAACATGAAAGAACATAAATTGCAATTGGTATCCAATCAAAGCTTATGGTCAAGTGCACTATACACTACCAAAGTTTATATCATCAAATTTTCTTGATTGTTCATAATTACAGTTTTTGAAACTGATGCGTTTTTGGAGGGACACCCTATAATAGCTGTTGAAATGCTTTTTGGCAGCCAGGGGAGAGTAGGATTCTCAAAGGGAAGACAGTGGCGTACATATAGCGCATTTGGGAAATAAACTCTTCATATGTTCATACACCGCACAACAAACATTTCTTATTACAGCTTCAACAATAAAAAATTTCTCGCTGATAGGAAATCAGATCTTCATCATTCAAACCTAACTATGAGGTGTTTCACGTGAAAGGGGGCGGGGGGGGGGGGGGGGGAGGACTTCCAATAATGACTTCTTTTATCAAGTGGTATTAAATTTTTGTTTCTTTTTGTTTAGAAGTTGTGCACCATGTTACACATACATTTTGTTATAAAACATGGTTAGATTATCAACTATTTTCTTTTTTCATTCTTGCAAAAGGTTTCATAGAATTCTCTGAGAAGTTGCAGTTGTAAAGAGGAGAGAAATAAAATCTGATAACGCTTGTCCAAAGCTTCACAGAAAATCCTGTTGCCGACCAAGATTTGGTCATTAAGAGAAGCCATAATTTGTGTCAAGTTAGCATTTTAAAGAGATTTTACACTTTACATCAAACATTTGTTTGAAAGTGATATTTATTAGAGCATATGCAATACAGCAACAGTAACACCCTTGAGAAATTAATTGCCATATTCGGTCACATTGCAATATTTGGTCATTTTGTCAGGCAAAACAACCTACATAATGACACACTAGCAGGGCAAATTCATCAAGGCAACAGAAAGGGACACAGGGGAAAAAAAGTGGCCTGAGTGAATCATAGAAGACCAAGCTCTCGGTGAAAGATTTACTCAAACAGGAAAGAGGTACAGCATATAAGGGCAGCCAGCCTCCAGACTGTTATGATGGAATAGAACCCGTGTTTGTATGGTTTAAAGACATGCAAACTTAGTTGACAGGAAAATGAACCAACTTAGGTATTGACTAGATGCGTATTATGATTTGCAATGTGTCAGGTCACAAAGACAATTAATCCACATGACAAGAACAACTTTGCATGAGGGGATTCAAAAGTAGAGGCCAACAATTGCTGTGTTATTTAGTTTTCACCAAGGAGATAACGCATTTCTCTTCAGAGATATTTTCTCTTCACAACGATTAAAAAGTGTGGCACAGTCTTACCTTTAAAGTGAAACCAGCAACTGGGGCAAGCTCATGTTTTCCATGACTCCCGGTCTTCATTCTGTGCATCATCAGTGACAGAAGATGCTACTGAGACGAGAGAAGCTGGGGCTATCCTTGAGGGCTGGATGACTCCTGACTCCTTGGCTATGGAGATGCTCCTCACAGAGTACAGGCAATCATTACTGCTCCTCCAGTGAAGGTTAATGAAGCACGTCTATTGTCTCTGGGTCCAGCACAGGAGTAAGATGCCATGGGTATAGAAGACCCGTAGGCTTGCTAAAGTGGGGAAACATTGCTATGGGTGCCGAGTCCTTGGGTATAGGTGACCCGTCGGACTGTCCAGTGAGGATGGGCCAAAACAGGGATCTTTATTCACTGAGTCTCGTAGGTGATGTCTTGCACTTTACCACATTCACAGCAGATTCTCCAAGTCTGCACTTCAGGTCCTGCTTGTCCTTGTAGGATTGTAAAAGGCTGTGAATACTGATTAGTGTGCCCTTATAAAATAGCATAGCTAACCACCAAACAACTGGCCAGTGGTAAGGTGGTCTTCCAACTGACATTCAATGTGGCACAATGCAGAAGTTTCATTGGAGTCAACATTGATTTGAATTTGTTGACTCTCAAGCAATTTGATCGTCAGAGAAAGCAAATCCCAACTTAAGTGTCCTACATGTATATATTTAGACCTGTTCTGTATACCAATACTCTAATATAGTAAAATGCCATTTTTAATATATTTTCAAAGAGTATGGTGGCATATTGATCTCATTTAATCAATGTTCGCAGTAGCGTTAATCCTTCATCACTGCCTTCAGTATTATTCCCATGCAATATTCACATGCAACTAAACTTTCAAAGTTAACCTGATGAGTATAAAGTATTGACTCAGACATATTCAAGTTGACTATGAAAGGACAATAAATATTACCATATTATGCTATGAATTATCAATAACATATATGCGTATGAGTAATAACTTGAGTACTATATTATTCAAACATTTCCAGAGTTTTTTAATTCAAAAGAATAATTTCACATTTTACTGGTATTTTCAATGCTTTTTGATAGTCGGTAATTGAAGAAAGTAAAATATTTATGGTTAGAAAGTTGGCACATGATCCATATGTGAGAAGAATTAGATTACCATTTTTATTTGTCAAGGTAGGTCTATATCGTGTTTAAATGAAATAATCAGAGAACAGTTTCCAAATTATATTTCGATGAAACACTGAGGCACACAGAGTATGGTGGCATTAATGTTAAATCTATTTTTGCAGTAACATTACCCCCCCCCCCTTCATTGCCAAAGGCATTATTCCAACGAAATTTTCAAAAAAGAGGCATTGTGCATAAGTCTGTGCTAGCCAGGGAACAGAGTGCTGCATAGACTCAAATCGGGGTAATAGCACACCAGGCCTGTCATTTTTAATCCTTGTTCTGTTCTTTCAGTATATTTTATTTTTTTAAGAATGTGGTGATTATGTGATGTGAACATGTTTTTTTTTCTTGTTTTGTTTTGTCTCATACATGTAGTGCAATATTGTGGCACACGTATCTTCTGTGCATAATTCTTATAATTTACTATTTCACTGTATTGATGTCCTTTATATTATTATATTGTTATTGTAACATGTGTGTGTCACTATTTATAGCTATAGCTTCCTATGGTTGTGAGTCCAAGGGCAGACTAGCGTAGAGTGGATGCCTTTGAGATCTGGGCATACAGACGCGTTCTCCGAGTGATGTGGATGGAGAGGAGGACCAACCGCTGGGTATTGGATACCACAGGGAGTGAGTTGATGCTGAGACAACAGATGGCTGTGCGGAAGATGCATTTCTTTGGCCATGTCATGCGCCGCAAAGGAATCGACAAAGAAATGATCCAGGGATTGGTCTATGGGAAGAGACGTCATTCAACAACATCATGGAACCAACGACATAAAGCAGTGGACCAGACAGTGACTTGCAGCAGCATCAAGATCAGCAGTGGATCAAGATTGTTGGCGTAGACTAGTAATGGCCACTGAGTGCAAATTGTGCCATCGGACTGAAGAGAGAGGGAGGTACTTGACCGTGATTCATTCATGTGGTATCCCCCATTCAACTACTATAGTGGCATGGTGGCAGCGTTGGAAACATTTCCATGCACTTTTCAGCTCATAAAAGGACTGGTCACAACAAACCGCCGACTTTGAGTGCTACATTTGGACTTCCGACCCTGTGCATCATTCACAAACAGGTGAACAGCTAGCCAGCTGATACTACAGCTGCGTAATAACACTAACTTTCAGTTTTTACCAACAAGAGTGTCCTTACCCTTCCAATCACCATGGCCAGTTCACATCGAGCACCAAAACAATGGTGTTTGGACAAGAATGAAACTGTATACTCCTTCGACATCTGGAAACACAACCTACAATACATATCATTTCAAATATTTCAAGCTTCCTTGTAAAAGTTCACATGGAACTCCACCGAGTAAATGAAACCCAATCCCGAGCTTATTTGGCCAAAAACAAAAACAATGAACACGTTATATTCAACCTATCGTAAGCTATCCATCTCCACATCAGAGAAAACAGCCCCGAGTAAAGATTTAAACTTTGTTCCCACTCCGGCCAAACCACTACCAAAGACGAATGAGAATTGCATACCTCATGCAAAACAAACCCTTCAAACATACAAAGACCATTCAAACCTTTGTGAAGTACTTTTCAAAGTCTTCTTCCTACTACAAGCACGGCCACTACGTACACTGTTTAACCAAGAAGAATCGTGATTTCATATGGGACGAGTAGTGTGACAGCTCTTTCAACACCCTCAAGACAGGATTGCAGGAGGCCCCTATCCTGGGTTACTCTCAACTGGAGGGCCAATACATACTCGATCTGATGCCAGCAGGGATGGGATCAGTGAGTTCTCTCGCAAGTTTAGGAAGGGAAAGAAAGAGTTATCGCCTATGCAAGTCTGGCATTGTCTGAACCAGGTGCCTACCTATGTTGCCCAATACCTACATGTTCCACAACCCTAACCCTGGAAGCATCTGCATGTAACCCTAAGCATCTAACCCTAAGCATCTAACCCTAAGCATGTAACCCTAAGCATCTAACCCTTAGCATCTAACCCTAACGTAAACCCTAACCATCTAACCCTAACCATCTAAACCTAACCATCTAACCCTAACCATCTAACCCTAACCATCTAACCCTAACCATCTAAACCTAACCATCTAAACCTAACCATCTAACCCTAACCATCTAAACCTAACACTAACCCTAAGCCTAACCCTGAGGATTTTGGGGAACATATATAGGTATTGGGGAACATCGGGTAGACCCCGTCCAAATCCAAACCTAATTGCTGTGTAACAAGGCGTAAATTGCTAGCTGTTGTCCAGCTTCCTCAAGCATCGAATGCAACACACCTCTAGGGCCGAGTCACCTGTAGAAGAAGCCATGCAGGCGGGATCTCTACATGCAGAGCCAATCAAAACATGCAGAGCCAATCAAAACAAGCGAGGCCCAACTAAAGAACGACACCATAACCTGGGTTCTGAAGGAGAAAAATGCAGCAGTCGACCATACCAGAGTGCTGTATCAATAAATGGTCCAGCATCAAAAACTTACTGCTCCAACTGGGACCAGTTCGAGTGAGCTGGTGCCAGACATCGATCTTGAGGAGACATTGAGCTGGACTGCTACCAAGATGACAAAAACGTTCATCGTCACCAAGTTTCAGTCCGGCATAGCAACCAAGATCAGAAAAGGATGTGGATGTTTGACATCATCTTCAATGCCAAGCTTAAGAAGAAACGAACCGTTAGGTCCCAAACTATTCTTTCTGAGTACTGCTCCCATTAGAGACGTCCCATAATTTAAAAGTGTTATTAAAGTGCTCTTAAAATATTCTAAAATCATTCTTAACTTGTTTGGAAAAGGTTCTTAAATGGTTCTTAAATTGTTATGAAAATGTTCTGAAAAGTATTCTCTTAATTAAAACAAATTAAACTGGGAGTGTAAGACATCTCTAGTACCACAGTTAACAAGAGGTAACTTTTCATGTTGGCAAAATTGTTATTTTTTATTAATGTAATTTGTGAGTTATTGTGTATAAGCTTTCAGGTCGGGACACCCTGGCTTAATTAAAGAGGGCCCATTGTAATGCAAATCATACATCGCTACGAGTGTTGCTATGAAGCACGTCACGTGATCAGTTGCATAGTGCGCTTTCATTGAGGGCGTACATGTACATGTACTTGCATGAAGAGGTGCAGCACATCAATCTGTTGCTAGCCAGGGCACGGAGCACACGAACAGTTTACCCGATGGTAAGTCTACACTACACTACGCTACGAGTCATACGCTGCACTGTGTACAGCTGGAGGTCCAGACTGCACCGCCATATTGGTGTGACGAGCCGACATGCTTATTGGTTGGGCCTTTGAGTACGCATACATCCATTATTTAATGTGTGGCTTGGATGCGCTGCATAGCGAGCACTGTATTGACTCAAACTGGGGTAGAAGCACATACTGTGGAGGCATGCAATTGAAGCACGAGTCCATTTCCTACCCAGGCTGCTAAGGATTGCATCCATCGTGTTTTTAGCATTACGTTACTAATAAATGTGTTGCATCTAGTATTAACTGCTGTCACTGTCGTTTTATTGCATTGTTCACTGACTCATTCAGTTTTCTTGCCTATAGATGGGGATATGTTTTCTCTAAACAGTGAGGATTACTGGTGACCAACTTAAAAATACTAGTTTCCTAATTCGTGTAACTGGAGGAACATAGGGAGCAAATTGCTAGTTCAGGAATATTTTTCAAGCAAAATAAGCAATTGAAATAAATCATGTTACAGCCTAACATTGTACTGAATCATTTCTAAAAAGTCAAACAAGCCCTTTTGAAATACTGTGTGCCTCAGTGTTTTATCAAAAGATATTTGGAAACTTTTTTTCTAAATAATGATTATTCAAATGCTCATGTACGTTTACTGTTTTCAGGCATGCAACTGGGACTTTAGGGGGAAAAAACAGGGAAACTCTAAAACCACACAAGAATCATTTCTAAAAAGTCAAACAAGCCCTTTTGAAATACTGTGTGCCTCAGTGTTTTATCAAAAGATATTTGGAAACTTTTTTCTAAATAATGATTATTCAAATGCTCATGTACGTTTACTGTTTTCAGGCA